CGGGGGGGGGGGGCAGGGGGTCTTTACCCTCCCTCTTTCTCTCTCTCTCATTTCCTCTCTGCCTCCAGCACTTGCATTTGTTCACAGCCTCCAGAGCCATGCTGGGTGTTCCTCCACACAATACTCCTTCAGTAACTCTGCATCCTCTCCACTGTCTGTAAACCACCCACCCACCCGACACCCCCCTTCTAAATGATCAATATTTTCCTCACAGGAAACAAGTAGCTGGCAGCAGAGAGGGTAATATGGAGATTAAGCAACTGATGAAATAATCAGCAAACTCATGCACAATTCCCACACCCACATCAAAGAGTCAGACAGCAAACAGAACTTGAGCTGATGTTATTTATGGCATAATTAACCTATTTTTTTATACGGAAGGAAATCATCAATCATTACCCAGAGGAAGAATTTAATCAGGACCCTTGATGATGTGAGAAAACGATTTTGCATAAGTCCTAATTCAGGATTTACTGATTCAGTTGTAATAAGAGGCAGCCACGTCGATCTGAATTCCTTGTGTTTAAGCGTGCAAACCATAAATGACTGCACTTGAAGAGTCACTGGAGCAGCTATGAATGTGTAAAAGTCAAGCACATCTGTTATGAAAGCATAATCATCCACTTAAGGAGAAACCAATTATGAAGATGAAGGCCTAGCCAGGATCTACGCACAGCTGTCTGAAGGCTGTAGGATCAACCTTTCATTTACTTTGACATGAACAACAAGAAAGGCACATGCATTCAAAGACTGTTTTTAGAAAATGTTAATTAAAAATAGTAATAATATACAAGTTGAGGGCATTATTTTCAGGATACTTTTTGAATTTTTCTTTGGATAAACTCACTTCCTGTCAAAAGTGGGTCACAGTATGTGGGACTGTACATTATGACTGCATGCTATCCCATATGATCCCATAAAATATAGAATTATGCACAGTTCCTTGTGACCACGATGAGCACTGAAACAGCATCAGACGACACTGAAAAAGAGAAAAATATAAACCAACATATACAAGCACACATAGAGAGAACTGACTGATTGTTAACAAACACTAAACCAGGAGGATGTGATTGTCAGAGCTTCCTAGCATCTGTTATAGGTCCAATTTCACAACATGAAGCCTTCTTAAAGGCCTTGACTCAGAGGAGACCAGGGGGGATTGGAGACTTTTTCTCCAAGGACAACAGCTGACAAAAATCATTGTTTGGAGTAGATTTTGTCCGACTCGTCACTTGCTTTTTCTCAAATTACAATTAAAAAATGACTGATGGAAAAAGACCTGACCCAAATTTCCATAAGAAAACTTCCTTGTCACTACAGTAAGCCCAATATGACTTTGTTGGGACTAATTTCAAATAAGATGTCCATGGCAGGATTAATCTGATGAATAACATATGGCAGAGGATTTGCTACAATTGCACATTAACACTGCTAATTCACAACCACAGCCTCAGAAAACAGAGGTAAGGAATGGGCCAAGATCCACCAATTAACACCCACAGCGTTAGAACGCACGTGACCCGGTTTAGGGAATGTACGTACAAAGGCAGACGTGGTAGTTTGGTCAATGAATGAAGAGCAGAGAGAAAAGGAGAGAGAGAGGGAAGGAGGAAGAGAGGGAGGCAAAATAAAAGGAAAGGGTGTTTTTATGTTACTGCATTTAAAACTGACTAAAATTAATAAAATGTTTAGGAAGTCACTGGTGGACTATATTTAAAATCTAGAGATGATATTATTTACACTTGGATAAACACATACACACACACATACACACAGCTACACACACGTTGAAACAAAAATCCATCAGAACCTCCTTGGCTGAAAAATCCAACTGAGCGAGTGTTACAACAGGTAGAATAAAGGGGAAAGGATGTAAGGGTAATGGGGAGGGGGTATACTTACATTGCAGTTTGAGGACTGGGTTAGATTGGGTGCAGATCCATCAGTCCACTCTGCAGTGTCAGTACTGCTGGACTGTCTGCTGCGCTCATACTCCTTCAGCTATGTGGAGAAGAAGAGTTAGAGAGGTAGAGGAACAGGGCAAGGCCACCCACTGTCACCCAGCATGCTACATCTCTCCATATACTAGATACCTATTGACAAATATCAACAGTGTGCATTCACAGTGCATGTATACATTGTATACAAACAGACAAGCACATAACAGTCAGAACAAAAGGACTTAAACTGTGGTGTAGTGGTAAATAAAAGGTGTATATTGTAGCCTGATCATCAGGCAATCGGCCATCCAAGTAAAAAAAAAAAAAACTGTTTAAATGTCCTTATTCTCCTGCATATTCCTCCATTTTAGCATTTGTTACAAGTGTTTTTCACAAAGATTTATGTCATGACTCCTTAAATAAAAGAGGGCGACTGAACATATTGCTCTATTGATTGAGTAAAGAAAAAAAAAGATATTGATCAATCATACAGAGAACAGATACAGAACTACACACCAGCACAACAACAAGCCAACAAATCTATCCACAAAGGCTAATCACTGATTGGTTTGACGGTTTTTTAGTCACTGGAGAGAGAAGCTGAGATCAAGTTGTTGGCCAGTAGAAAAATCAAAATTCTGGAAGAAAGAGTAGGAGTATAATTAACATCATCTCATTTGGGGAGCGAACCAGTGCTCAAATGCTGCTGGACAGTCATGCTACCCATGATTGACAGAAAGAAAGGAGAGAACATGAAGAACCAACAAGAAGTAAGAAAATAAGAGAAGAACAATCAAAAGAAATGGATTGAAAGTCAACTCAAAAAGAAAATGCAAGGAACTTTATAGGAAAGCCAAATAATTATCCACCATGTCCACGTGAAGGAAAAAAGCCACAGTGCACCAGAGCAACCCCCAACAGATGGGGCTATTGAGTTGACTGACCATCAACCTCACAATTATGAGCCGAGCAACACCCACACACACACACACACCAAGTGCTTACACCCTGCTTTCCCCAGAATCCTGAATCTTTGGTCTGGAGTTTGTGTGTGTGTGTGTACAGAAGACGATGCATAGTAAAAATGTGGGATTTTGTAGTGGTTAGTAAGAGTGAGTCGTTTTAGTAAGCCAGCGCTTTATGGTGGGGATGTGGATGGGGGAGGGCTGGAAAGTAACCCAGGAGGAGGTAAAATGACCTGAAGGGTTGAACAGGAGCTTCAGTTAACTGTTCTAAGGGAAGGTGTGGGGTGGGGATAGGGAAGGAAGGTGCCACAGATGAGGCAGGAAGTCAGTGGAGCTTCCTACCCGAGCTAGAGCTTCCTCGACCGTGATCATCTTTTCTTTCACCATCATCATCAGCTGGATTCGCTCTTCATCGCTCATGGTGATCTCACTGGCCACATAGCCAATGTCCTCTCCTGATGGGGGTAAAGAGCAAAGACTAGGGCTCAAACATAAAGTGGCATCTAGTCAGTAAACTAGATGTCAACAATGGGGTCAAGCACAAACCTTTGGACGTATGTCGCATGACAGGTTTGTGCTGAGACTTGCGGAAGCTCTGCCAAAAAGATTTGTTCTTCTTCTTACTGTCCCATTTACCTAAGGGGAGAGAAGTAACAGTCACACAGGGGGAAGCATACACCTGATACACAACTACTCGCATTATACTGTATTATGTCACAAATTTAGAATAAGCGTTTGTGTTGGGCAAACAAGGGTAATCTACTAGGCAAGATGACTTAGGATAGATAATTCTGTACATTTCAGCATATGTACCGTATAGACCGCTCCCTTTATTTTTAAAGTATAACCCTTGGTAAACATGTCTCACTATTCCCGTCTATAAATCACACCTCACAAATTAATAAAGAGTAAATGTAATCTTGCTGAAAATATTAAGGCAACAGAAGACAAACAAGGAAATGCATCTCAATTTACCTCCAGATCCGTCTTCAGAGCTGGACTTGTGCAGGGACATTCTTTGGGGAAGAGAAAAAAAAGGATCAACGTCAGAAAAACATACATTTCCATTTCTGTTCTCACACCTTATCATCAAGTGTAGTCTAGTCTCTGTGAACCACAACCATGAAAGTACATGAACTGGTTCTAAGAATAAGTATAATGTATGGTTTCTGTGAGTAGAGTTGCAATTTTGTCTATTCGCCACTTGGGGCCAGTGGTGGTACTTCAGTGATAGGAAACAAGGCTCCAGAGGATTGAGAGGAATAAGGTGGAGGTGAGGGGAGATGAAGAGCAGCAAGGATAGGAGAGCACGTAGACAATGACACCCCAGCTGCAAGAGGGTAAGATGAAGAGAGTGGTAATACAAAGTGCTTAAGAAGCAGTAAAGAACATGATCAAGGAGAAGAGTGGGAAACCATGTAAAAAGTGAAGAGAGTTGAGTGAAGTGGGAAATTAGGGACCTGAGGAAAGAGAGGAACAGACAGAGAGGGGAGAGGGAGGAGGAGGAGAAACCACAGGGCAGACTCAGCGTGTTTGTGTTTCCACTTCCTTCCACAGGATAGACAGTCACGAGGAAGAGAGAAGAGTAGGAGAGGGAGAGGTGGAAAATAACTGAAAAAAATCCCTGTCTACAGTATAAACCCATTTAAAAAATAACAAACAGGGAGAAAAGAACTTGAAAGCTCCTTGTTACACATGAATGGCACACAGCTTCCAATCAAAAAGCCATGTATGAGCAGCCTCACCCATTTTTTTTTTTTTTAGTTCAGCAGCATGATAGGCTGTGGCTTACTCTCCCTTGTTCTGAAGGAGATGAGAAACCACATCAATGGCAATCTGATACGGTCTTCTTTATATAAAAAATGGGGAAGGAGGGGGATGAGCTTCAGTGGATCATGTTGAAAGTAGCATCTGAAAACTTCACAGAAAGAGAGACTGTTTTCAGACTAGGCTATGTGGGTTGAAAGTAAAGAGGAACTGAAGGTTCAGGGCGCATTACTTCTGTGAGAACACCCTACAGGTGTGTGTGTGTGTGTGAGTGGGTGATAGTGGCTGCACACTAGAAGCTTTATTAAAAGGAAATAAACCATAAGGGGCAAGGAGAGATAAGAATGAACTCTGTCCAGCTGGGACCCTCAGAGACCTCTTAAGTAAATCTCTTTACTGTGTCTAACTTGCATGCTTTCACATACCTTTTATGATTTAAGCCAATTGCACAAGAGCATGCAGCTGCTGAGCCATGCACAGAAACAGGTGGCAGGCAGTGAAGCAATGTGAAAGTGTGCAACAGGATCAAAATAAGATGAAGAGGTCACGTCCCGCTCCAGTGGTTGCATGTGTGTGTGTGTATACACGTGTGCATGTGTGTTCATATGTTTATTCAGACATGGCAGCCCCCCTCTTAGTGCAATGGGAAATCTTCACACGGCTTAAAGCTCGACTGCCATGGCAACATAATGAGATGCTAATTGAATGGAAGCCTGTATGGTTTGCCCCTCTGCTCATCCCCCTCTCAGATAGGCTAGGGCCAAAGCTAATGCTAATAGAACTCAGTCAACAGAAGCCTTTCAGTGGCAATGCTGCCCCAATACTCTATAAATTAACCTCCCATGCACTTACACGCATGCATGCACTCACGTAGTTTAAAAGATCCTGAATGAATTTCAAAGAGTGTGTCAGTCTAGGCACTGTGTGGCTAGGCAGCCTAATTGGTTTACCCTTAAATCTTTGGCATGCCTTTCTATTTCAGGTCTGCTCTTTCCATTGAGTAAAGGACATTTAAAGGATAGGGCAGGTCATTTGCTATATTAATAATATCGTCAACACTCCCCCTACAGAGACTAAAACCAAAAATTAATGGCCTCTACTCACAGTTGATGTCTGTTAGTCTCCAACTTGGACTGTCTTATTTGTCTGTGTCATAGATCTCCGTTATTGCTCAAAAACAATTAAAAACATCAGTGAAAAACACAGCTGCACTGCATGACATTTCTTCATTACAAAACACAAGACCCGCATATTTCTTAAAAATGTTGCCCCAAAAGTTCCAAACAACCTTGACTTTTTTCCGTCTGAAGTAGCAAGACTCAATTGTGCATGCATGAGATCTCCATGAAGGCACAAGGAGCTAGTGGACTGTAAACAAAGAAGAGAGCTCACACAAAGACCTTGCGCATGTGCATTTGTGTCTTGCTTACTTGTGTGTTGAAAATACTATTAATATAGAAAATGACCAACCTTATCCTTTAACTGCTTTTTATCTCATTAGCACACTAAGCTAACATTCTATTCAAGGCATAACATAAAAGGTTCTTTAGTGAAAGTAGCTCGGTAACTGTGCAATGTGCAAATTAAACTGCTACAACAAAAGTGTTTCTAGGCTGAAACAAACAAGAGCTAATGAGTGCATTTTTTTTGTGAAAATGATCTTTGACAGCACTTTACCAGGCTGAGATGTAAAGCATCATTGATTTTCAAAATGATAAGCTGTGAGTGCTGCTTATGTTACAGCACAAGGCTTCACAACATATGATACAACTGCAGAAGTGTAACTGTAGGTAATCTTTTTGAAAATATGTCATAACTGCTCAAGTACATAAAACACGCAAACACAGAAAAGATCAAATACAACAGGGAAAAGCGCATACACACACTCACAGAACTAAGCCAGCAGCTATTCAACACCAGGAAAAAAAGGGTCAGTGAAAAAGTGATGATTGTGTAGGCAGGTATGAGTCACATGGGTCTATCCTGTGTGACAGAGCTGCTGGCCAGAAAAGATGACAAACCAGCATGTAGCAAGATTTGGACACAGCTGCATGTGTCTCCATTATTGCTTCTTATGGGCAGGTTTTACTGCACAAATCACAACAGTACACACGTATGTGTATATAGTGACTGTGTGCTTTTGTACAACTACAAGGTTGTCCACCTGGAGTGATGTGAACTCAGAGACAATGAAAAGCAGCAACTTTGTGTGACAGTGGCAGTGCTCACAGGAAGAGTAGGGACAGAAGAGCTCAGAGGTCACATGGAAGCGGAAGACAGAATATTATATGGCAGGAAAAAAAAAAAAAAAGAATCACACCTAAAACACAAACAAATAAAAGAACTGGACATGAAGAAGTGCATTTTAAATGTATGAGCTTTTTGTGCCATAAACACACCATCTACTGTGCTCCACTCTCAGCAGCAAATAAAAGCTCATTGAGGGCTGCAACATTCAGCCACAAGTGGTAAATATGCTGACAAGGTACTTTAGTTTTCCAACATGGTGCTGCTGTTGTAAACAGATTCTTCACATGGGACGGCTTACATTTCCATCTGATTATTTGGTACATTCCATATCCAGGAGCACAAATGCCTCTAAATGTACTCTCTTACAAACCCCGTTAGTAATAAACAATAATCAACAATTTGGACGAGTATGCTTTCATTAAGATCCATTTACCTCTGCCGTTAACTTTACTGATAAGCATATGGCCCCTTCTCTGCAACAATACCCGCCAATCAATCGCCTTCCAGAACAGGAAGTCCCCAGCTTGAACCCTCCAGCTTTCTTAGTGCCCCCTGTCACCACTTGCAGATCAGACAATATGGGAATGGTGCCAACCTCCTGCCAACAAAGTGACAAGGAGAGACACAAACAGAGGGGCTGGCACGGTCTCGAGATGAAGTCTGCGTAATCTCCTCTGTGTGCCATTGTCCTACAGAGGTGATGATGTGGGTATCCGTGTCTGTGGGTGTGTATGTGCATGCATGCCTCCTGTGGGGCTGTGAGGAATGCGTCTGAGGACTGGAGGGGGCTTGTCTATCAATCTGCCTGTACATGATAAATCATTGTACCTGAAAGCCATTCACCACAGAGGAAAGTGGACAATAGGCTATGTAACAGGGAACAGAGCTGGGGTGAAAGAAAGGAGAGGGCTGGCAGTGAATAATGCATTACAAAAAAGGTTTCCTGGGGGTTTGATGGGGGTGGAGGTTTTTGAACATTTTTAATTCATTAGATAAAGGTAAAATATATATTGCTGTGTATCCAACTTTCACACCAGAAAGTGACATGTGGAGAAGAGGTGGATGAACATGGAGTTGTTCCATTATAGATTAATGCAGACTTAAAGAGACTAAATCTGAATGTAAACGTCTGAAAAACAAAATCATGGGACAAACATGTGAGACACAGAAGACAGAGAAAAAAAAAATCGAATGACAGGAAGAAAGAATAGGACAGTTATGGACTCTATCTGGGCCTCTCTCAAACAGATGACAGACGTATCAAATTTGGCATCTGTTTCCCATCATCCTCAGCATTTGCCTGTGCAACATATACTGCCACGGGAGAACAAGTCATGTCAGTGGTATGCGCTTCCTCTGCTGCACATGGTCATCACGTGAACATGACAGTTTCACTTTAGGTCACACTGGGGTGATGGTCAGAAACATGAACAGAAATGACGCACTATTTAGCGTTAGGGTTTGGACTGGGATTTTCAGTTCCTGCACAATTCATCTCTCCACTAAATCTCTTCTTTTTTTAAACACCAATGGGCAACATTGCCCTAGGAGCTGGCTCTGTATTGAAAGCTTTGTCATCTTGGTCATGAGGAAACACATGAATATATTCTTGACCTTGGGTCTCGCTTAACAGAGACTAAGCAAACCCAGTGCCTATAAGGGGCCAAATGACTGTAGTGAAATGAATTCTGTTTGAGAGCAGGACATTTAGAGGTTTGCTCCACTAACAACCTCAGACTACTTTAAATATGTATACCAGCGATCTCATAATGGTCCATAATGGAGAAATTTCATATACCTTAAATACAGTGGTGTGCAAAAATGAACACACACAGTCTGTGTTACAGGAACCAGCGAAAAGGAACCCCACCCATGCTCAATTCCATCCTGCTCTTTCATTCATGCTCCTCTGCTCTAATCATTGACCATCACCCTTTCTGTCTTCCCCTTTGCCCTGCTGGACACAAAGGCAGGAAGGAAGCTTGGACGGTGAGAGTGGAAGCTGGACTGAGCAGGTCAACCAGAGGAAGCAGCCAGTAGTTCTCCTGTAATTGCAGGGATGTGACTGAGGGTGTTTTAGGGACCAACTACGGGTCAAATTGTATGTGTGATGTCTATGAATACTAAGGGGTGGGTTTCGTTTAGACTCAAAACTTTGATATTAAGCTTTATTTATTTTATTTTATTGTCATTGTGACACGTGCAACGAAATTTTGTTTAGAGCCGAGGGCCCCGGGCCACTGCATACATACGCGCCGCAATCACGGGCAACTTGGGGGTTCAGTGTCTTGCCCAAGGACACTTCGACATGTGGACTGCAGGAACCGAGATTCGAACCTTCAACCTTGCGGTTGGGAGACGGTGGATAGCTGAAGAGAGAGGAGGGCATTCATTGCTTTAACTTGTGGTTGTTGCTTATTGAAGAAATGTTCAAGCTATTCTAATTAGATAAGCTACGTAGCTGCTCATTACTTTGTCCAATTCTTCAAAACAAAAAAGGACAACTATTCCTTTATAAATCTTAGAAATCATGTCCCAATGCTCACTGGTTTGTGATTACAAATAAATGCATCATTTACACTCTAATGACTTTATGACATGATTCTAATAAAACAATCATTGTTGCAACTTTTAAAAACATCTTTCTGGTCAAAAGTCCTTGTTAAGCTGCTGAAATATTAACCACTTTTATTCATTTACTGTCATAGTATACAAAACAAGTAAGCCTATCTGAGTAAATCAGTTTTTTGGTGTATGTTTATGTTTATGTTTACTACCAAGGCCAGTTGCAGTTGTGTGAAGACGTGTGAAGTGCACACTCGAATATCACCACACTCATCAATGACATTAGCGTTTTCCATCTCAGGGACTGCCCTCTGCTCCCCATGGGCAAGGTCAGTGACCTTTTGTTCAAGCTGTCATATAAAAGTTCTATCAATCACATGAGCTGCACATCTGGAGGTGGATGTATTTTCATTTCCCTCTCACCATCTTTAGCAAAGGCTGAGTGTGATCCATGATTTTGTGTGCAGACATGTACAGTTTGATGCAATCCAGACATAGGCTGTGTTGAATGTTGTTTTGACAAACTACAGACATGCAAGATCAATCCAAGCAGATTTCATGGTTCCACACCAGCTGCATTCACATATAACAATGATGAAGTTGTGGTTGGGGGACACGTACTTTCTGTCTGTTTCTGGAGTTGACACCTCACTGCTGAAGCCTAATGATTCCTGAGGACAGAGAGGAGGAAAACAGGTGTCAGACTTTTTAGACAAGCATGAGTAAATCTGACCTAATGATGCTACAGGTGTTATTTTATGTAGTTTTCAAGTGCTTTGTGAACATAATATCTACCTGGATCTCATTGCGAAGCTGCAGAGAGGTGTTGCTTGGGTCCTGTTTCTCCTGAAAAAAGAAGGTGAGAGAGAAGAAAGAAGGTATCAATGTCAGAGAGGATCACTTTATAATTCAGGAATAATAGATCATAAGCTTAAAAAGGCCAAAAAGGTAAAATACTGTATATGGCGAAGACAGATAAGTTGACTACATAAACAATGCCATGCTATGGGATAGACCTTCAATAAGGTTCATGTAGAAACAAACCTGCAATACTTGTTTTAATTATTTTAATACCACTGGGAGGTGGTACAGCCTAGAGAAGACCTGGCTTTTTTAGCACAACAAGACATACAACTAGCTCTTTGAATTCCACTGTGTTTACTACAATGACAATCCCTTAACAAAAAGGTAACACCTCCTGATTTGGCTCATCTTTAGAATAAAATAAGAGAATTGGGATTCACTTATAGTCTGTGTTTGGGCTGTTTTCACTGTTACACGGGGCTAGTGCTTGCATGTCTAAACAAAATGTCCTCATCATGGTATGTCCAGATACAGATGTGCATCAAACCAAATGTTTCTGCTGACAGACACAGGGACTACACAGTCACAACGAGCCTGCAACTTAGATCTTAACCTGCATCACGTGGTTACTTAAAGCCAGTGAACTGCCTTCAGGGATTGGTCAACTGCATAGTTTCTTGGTGATGTGCTCATGTGCTTTTGAAGTCTCACGGAGGAGATAACCTAATGCATGGTGCTCATCACTCTTCCAATGCTGCCACAGTCTTATATCATTGGCTCACAGAAACAGATGGAGTCAGCAATTTGGGTAGCGACCAGATTTTCAAAATGCAGAGCAGGGACTCAGGCCTGCATCTGTAACCCTCATGTCAACATCTTTCATTTCTAGTGGTGATATTTCTGCACATTACGCAATGTGCCTTTAATCCTTCTAACAGGACCTAGGGGGGTAACCAAGGACAACCAAGCCCCGATTATTTGCTTCAGTTATACTAACATAAGGAGTCAAAGTAACAACTGTGGCTCGAAAAACATTTGTGAAGACAGCAATGCATATCTTACATGTGCTTGTGAATATGATGAGTATGCAGACTATCGAGGGTACGGGAATAAGCTAACAGACAAAGTTAGTCAACAACATACTTGAGTCAAAATTGAATGAACGGTGGATTTTTGTGATTACCTCTGTGGTTTCATACATTTTGAAACATTTGAGGAAATGTTAATGTCATGGTATTGCTGAGGTTCCTTGTGTCCTGATGAGAAGAGTAAACATAACCCAAGACAAGTTCCTAGTTTTACTTTCTGTCTGACTTTGTATTTTACCAGACAGAAGAATGACATGAAACTGCATGGTTTTCTGTGATTAATCACGATCAACTGCATTGATATGAGCAGCATTCAATAATGAATTCAAATGTAGTATTTTGCGCACTTTTATTTTAAAAGTACTGATATATGAACAAAAGTGCATTAACATTTGGTTTGCAAACACTTTAAGCAAATAAGGTGTTCAAATAATTGTTCTAATTCTGCAGCCCTTGCTGGACTGTGTTTAAAGCAGCCCACAACCTTTCTGCATTTGGCCAGGACACTGTCAAATGCACTGTTCTGCAGAGAAACTGTGACACAATGATGGAGACTGTGTGCGACACGGGATGTGTTAAAAAGGCAGATGTCTTGCAGCAGCGATCATATTTCTTGCACTATCTGTGCTGACTTTATTTGAAACATTCCACTGCTGTGCAACATGAATGAAATGCTCTGCGCATGTTTCAGCAAAATGTCTCTCTCTCTCTCTTCTGTTTTCATTAGTTAGAGCATGTGAATGCAGCTCCCTCTGTTCATCAATAGACACTGATATTACAGTTTTGAATTTGGTACATCTGCAAATTCTGTCTGTTCTATCTTTTCAAATAGGATACAAAATAAAATTCAAGGATTTGGATGTTAACAGAAATCTCAATGAATCTTGTTCGCAAAACACCTTCCCTGGTGCAGTATGAGGCTGACTGTTGACAACTCATTCAAGAAAATGTCTTCCAAATAAAGTTGTTTTTTGTACTAGAATATATGGCAAAGCTTTCTGTCAATCTGCCTTAAAACTGTTTTCCATATCGTACAGATAATCTCCTGGATAAAGAAGCAGACATTAGCAAAGTCAGGATGGCTGAATGGCTCTAAGGAAGCAGACTGAGGGCTGCTAGATAACTACCTTGCTGCAACAAAGAAAATTCAACTGTGGATTTTCCCAAATGCAGAGCAGGAATAGGAAGTTGGTTACTTTTGAGAAATGTGCATCACCCTAACATGTCCACACCCAGATATTAGAGCATAGGACATTCAATGTAATGAATGCTCTGTCATGCTTCCTAATCAGTGACCTTTAGTTTAACCTTTTTTTCTTGTATGACTGCACTTTGGGGAAGAGATTATAATCCTACCACACCCTCACTCACAAAGCATGAGTAATACTTCAAGCACTAGGTAAGAAGTGACTTAAATCCGCTAAACAAGCTCTAAGAGCCTGTAGCCTGAGAGTCATATGAGCAGACCTGAACTGCTGAGGTGGCTAAAAGCCTTAAAAGTAGCCTGAATCCTACACTTATCACAACACTAATCAAATGAAGGCAGAGTAAGGATGTTAGAAAGACACTTTGGCTGGTTTAATCTTTATTGTTAATTTTAGCACAAGTCTTCCTAGTTAATTTATCTGTGTATGTATTAGTCTGTTACAGCGATCAACAAGGCAGAGGATACGGAAGTTTGGGAAGTAAATCAAGTAATGTTAAAAGAGAAATGTCCATCCAAGGGAATAGGGAGCTTCCTGTAATTGAGAAAGCAGGGACCTGTTAGGTCATAAAAACATCATCCATCAGACCTACTAAAATATGAGGTTTAGTCTCATTACACTGCCAGGCTGTGCACAGGTAATATCTGGGATGCAGATGTACTGCATGTCTTTTTCATGTAGGGACAAACATGTGTATTCCTTAAATAAGCACAGTAGTTTAAAAACTGCATTGTGTAGAATAGTGTGTGTGGTCACAAAGTGGGTGTGGGTGTACTCAGTGTACATAAAGAAAGAGGCACCATGAACAAGGTGTGTGCATGCATGCACAGTCACGAATACTTTCACCAGGGTAGTAGTAGATTGGTTCTGCTATCAGATCCTCTTCGATACCTTTTTTGGGCTGTACTGAGAGGAGGGGATTGCCCATCTCCTCAGTGTATAATTATGGGCACCATGCCCATGGTTGTAAAAAAGCTATTTCAGATCACTGCCACAATGGCAGCTCACTGCCTGGCAAACACGTCACACACGGACACACAAAAAATACACAGGCAGACACACAGACCTCAACATCCCTATGCATCCCACAGACTTAAAACCTAAACAGACACTCAAACCAAGGAGCACCTACACATGCATTCAACTTGCCTCCACCTCCACATATAAGCCCTTATGAGATAAACACAAAGCAGCTCTCTGTTTCTCCGACTCCTCCTCAGCTTCCCCTTACTCCCTTGTCTGTGCGTGCCATCTCTGACATGGAAAGTGGGGGTGAGAGGCTGAAAAGACGAGGAGATGATCAGTGAAAAATAAACAAAACCTGCATCCTGTGTACCTTTCACTGCAGATCTGCAAGATGAATTTGTCACAGCGCAGGATGTGGAGAGAAAATTTGTGTAAAAGCTTCCCAAAGTAAACTTGGGTTTCCTTCAGACCTGTGGGAGAGCGTTTGTGAACAGCAGTTTTCAGTTCTTTCCACAGATTCTCGATTGGATTCAGGTCTGGACTTTGACTTGGCCATTCTAACACCTGGATATGTTTATTTGTGAACCATTCCATTGTAGATTTTGCTTTATGTTTTGGATCATTGTCTTGTTGGAAGACAAATCTCCGTCCCAGTCTCAGGTCTTTTGCAGACTCCATCAGGTTTCCTTCCAGAATGGTCCTGTATTTGGCTCCATCCATCTTCCCATCAATTTTAACCATCTTCCCTGTCCCTGCTGAAGAAAAGCAGGCCCAAACCATGATGCTGCCACCACCATGTTTGACAGTGGGGATGGTGTGTTCAGGGTGATGAGCTGTGTTGCTTTTACGCCAAACATAACGTTTTGCATTGTTGCCAAAAAGTTCGATTTTGGTTTCATCTGACCAGAGCACCTTCTTCCACATGTTTGGTGTGTCTCCCAGGTGGCTTGTGGCAAACTTTAAATGACACTTTTTATGGATATCTTTAAGAAATGGCTTTCTTCTTGCCACTCTTCCATAAAGGCCAGATTTGTGCAGTATACGACTGATTGTTGTCCTATGGCCAGAGTCTCCCACCTCAGCTGTAGATCTCTGCAGTTCATCCAGAGTGATCCTGGGCCTCTTGGCTGCATCTCTGATCAGTTTTCTCCTTGTATGAGCTGAAAGTTTAGAGGGACGGCCAGGTCTTGGTAGGTTTGCAGTGGTCTGATACTCCTTCCATTTCAATATTATTGCTTGCACAGTGCTCCTTGGGATGTTTAGCTTGGGAAATCTTTTTGTATCCAAATCCGGCTTTAAACTTCTCCACAACAGTATCTTGGACCTGCCTGGTGTGTTCCTTGTTCTTCATGATGCTCTCTGTGCTTTAAACGGACCTCTGAGACTATCACAGTGCAGGTGCATTTATATGGAGACTTGATTCCACACAGGTGGATTCTATTTATCATCATTAGTTATTTAGGTCAACATTGGATCATTCAGAGATCCTCACTGAACTTCTGGAGAGAGTTTGCTGCACTGAAAGTAAAGGGGCTGAATAATTTTGCACGCCCAATTTTTCAGTTTTTTATTTGTTAAAAAAGTTTGAAATATCCAATAAATTTTGTTCCACTTCATGATTGTGTCCCACTTGTTGTTGGTTCTTCACAAAAAATTACAGTTTTATATCTTTATGTTTGAAGCCTGAAATGTGGCAAAAGGTCGCAAAGTTCAAGGGGGCCGAATACTTTCGCAAGGCACTGTAACGGTGAAGCAAAATGAACAGTGAAGAAGTTACCAGCGC